ATGCGTTCTAACAACGCACTGCAGCGCATGGCGTACACATATGTTATATGGGGGAGAGGGGGGTTTGTGTTTTTTTTTTAAATTAATAAATTCAGAGACTGATGTGAATGTGGGGGGACATTAGAGTGTAAGCTCCTCTGTACAGAGACTGATGTGACTGTGGGGGGACATTAGACTGTAAGCTCCTATGTGCAGACTGATGGGACCGGGGCTGCAACAACTAATCGACTGAGTCAAATAAAATCGATGATGGAAAATGTTATCAACGTTTTCCATCATCGATTAGTTGCCCCTGTTCGCGGCCCCACACGCGCCGCGCGCTTCACGCCACACCTCCTCCCCGCCTCTCCCAGCTCTGAGCTCTCTCCCTCAGCTGCCCGCCAAGTTGATCACGTTGTTGCAGGGAGACTGCAGTGTGGGGGAACGGCAGCTGCCAACAGTCCCAAGGTCTCGGAAGAAAGTAAAGTTGCTTGAAGAGTGTGCAGGTACAAGACTACCTTCACCCCGCCCCCCCCCCTCCCCCCATTGCTGTATAAATGTATTGCTGGGATTTGTTGTATTCCTCTGTAGCTGATGGTATATTGCGCTGTATATGTGCCATCAGCTATAGAGGACCACAAATCCCAGCAATACATTATACACGGTATGCATATTGTATTGCTGGGATTTGTTGTATTCTTCTATAGCTGGTGGTATTCTACATTGTGCTGTATAATGTACTATTGCTGGGATTTGTAGTCTTCTATAGCCGGTGCCATTCTGCATTGATTGCTGTATAATTTGACATTTTACTATATTGCACACCACACTTTTTTGCTTCCGCCGCTCCAAGTTTGACTGATGTGATTGGCTAAGTGTTCTCTGTACAGCGCTGCGGTATATGTCAGAGCTATATACATGTATAATCATAGTATGTGATTTTGGGGGGACATTAGTGTGTAAGCTCCTGTGTACAGAGACTGATGTGACTGGCTCAGTGGTCTCTGTACAGCACTGCGGTATGTGTCAGAGATATATATATATGTATAACAGTGTAACAGTGTGACTGGCTCAGTGTGGCGCCGGTGCGGGGGGACTGGACGGTGCGTGGGCCCCGGACTAAAGCCGCGTAAGGGGAGATCAGCCCCCAAATCATTGGTGCGATTGTAGTAAGATTGTAGCTCCCAAATTAAAGACCCTGGGGTCCATGATCACACAGATACCAATGATTTGGGTGTTTTTTATTCTGTTACTGCATTCATTAAAAGTGCAATAACTTATATTTTTAAAGGAGAACTATGAGGTGAGTGCTTTTCACTGACCTCATAGTTCAATTCTGATTAGAAGAAACGTTTTCATAAATGAGCCTCATTTAGTTACCGAGCTATTGCTAAGCGATACATACAAAAATTGATACTGTTCACTCGCTCAAGAAAACCCCCCACCCGACCGCCAATATGCGCTCGAGAGCTTTATAAATAATAATAATAATAAAAAAACCTTTGCGCTTTAATAATGCAACTCTTATTGGCCGGAGTTATTGGGCTGATCGCTGATTGGTAGTCAAATGGCGCGCTGCTTTTGAGGGTGTGTGAAACCTACAGTCAAAGAAGGCGCGCAGCTCGTTATAACTGCGGCTTACGGAAGTGCGTGCCATGGCTACACCGCCGAAAAGAGTCTGCTACAGTCCTCTGTTTGACAATAGTTTCCACAAGAGGTCGAAGAAAATCTCTATTGAGGGAAATATTGGTAAGTTAGTCTAGGTCTCTAGGAAATGCATTTAACGTTTTCATAGTTGTGTGTGCTAGGCGGTTTAACGTTATCGTGTACAGTTAATTTAATATTAGCCGTGACGGGTATAATAATGGCAGTTTATTATCTTAGCATCTGTTACAACCTAAAATGATGTAGAGCCTGGTGCCAACAGGTGATTTATTTGATTCTACTTGTTAGTTGAGCCAAGCATCCTTTTTCACCCTAAAAGCGGTTTAATTGTAAGAAGCGAGACTTATTGTTTCAGAATAATTCGTGACGTTACCAAACCACTTGCCATCAGTTCGCAGTGTCGTTTAGCGAAGTTTTAAATATATTTTTCAAAAACAATGAGAGATCTTCTTCTGATTTGAAGTTGGCACACAAACGAAGAGACATGACAGCTACTAGTCTACTGTCATAGGGCGCCATCGTGTGGATCCTTATGAAATAGATTGTGCTTTGAAAAATTCAATAAATAAATCTGTACGTTTCCCGAGAATAAAGTATCGAACTTCTTTCTATTCTACAGCTGCGGGGAAGTCAACATTTGTTAGGCTTCTGGAACAAGCCAGTGATGAGTGGGAGGTAGTTCCTGAACCAATAGCTAAATGGTGTAATGTTCAAACTACTGAAGATGAGTCTGAGGTAATTGTGTGGTGCTATGAAATCTTGTTTTTAAATGCAGCTGTGAAATCTGAAATTGCATATTAATGATCAACTTGTTAAATTGGAGTTAATTATTCATATATAGAGTTTGTTTTTGCTATTTTGTAGGAACTGTCAACATCTCAGAAGAATGGAGGAAACCTTCTTCAAATGCTATATAACAGACCAACAAGATGGGCTTACACATTTCAGACCTATGCCTGCCTAAGTCGTGTTAGAGCCCAACTTAAACCAATTTCCCTTAAGCTAAAAGAAGCTGAACACCCTGTACAGTTTTTTGAACGATCAGTATACAGTGACAGGTAACTGCATCTAAATGTATTCACGTTTTTTACAGTTGCACATGGTGGGCAAAGCAATAGGTTTCCTTAAAGAGACCCTGTCACCTGCCCATTCATGGCAACCCAGATAGCAAGCAATTGAGCTGCAATTTGAAAATGACTTGCTAAACTATTGCAGACTTGCCAAGCTTCACAATTTTGTTGCACAATTACAGCAAGTCTGCATTGCAATTTTCCAGATCAACGTGCTTTGCAAAAGTGCTGTACACTTGCTAAGACCTTCAGGACACTTGCTGTAGACCTGCCAAGCAAATTTGCTACGAATTAAAAAAGTGTCAACTAGAACTTGTGCTGCAAGTATTCTGCAAGTCTACAACTTGCCAGGCATGTGTGCAGCAAGTTAACAAGAATTACAATTTAACCCTGTCACAAGTTTGTGGCAAGTTATCCTTGCTATCTGGGAAAGTGACATTGTCTTTGCCAAGGGGCCACACTAATACCTTGCCAGTGCTTCCCTGATGTTCCTTCTTCTGCCTCGGACAGCACTAAAATCCCTAGTTTTGGCTGGTATCACATGCTGGGAAAGTACTTGCCGATAATAATTACTGATACATTTTTCTTTTTTAAATTGTCATGTCACAGTTTTTCTAAAACAATACAGACTAAGGCTTTTAGGACAGTTAAGAAGTGCCAGGGCCTGGTTGCAGCTGCGACCCCTGCCACTGAATTCAAGATGTAGAGGAACTACAAATCTCACTAATACAGCCATGCAGAATGACAACCAGCTATAGAGGACTACAAATCCCAGCAATGCAGAATAATCTGAATCTCCATACTCTGTGCTGCTTCGGGGTGCATGCCTGATGTCTCCAGCAGAGGATCTCCGGAGGGGTCCACAGGGTCTCGCGGGTGACGGAAGCAATGTAAGCAGCACCACATGGTTCCCCAGGAAGGAGGAGAAAATGAGCAGGCGCTGTAGTTCACAGGAAGTCTGCCAACTGTGATAGAAGAGCACTGGCAAGATAATTATTGGACACGGGCTCATTTACAAGCTTATGATTACTTTATGTAAATGGTTAGAGTAACAGTAACTACATAATTTCCCCCTCCCTAGCAAATCATCTTTCATTGCTCCATCACCACTCAGCTACTGTCCTATGAGAGAGGAGTGAGTCACATTCTACTGGGTATTGGGTATTTTATTAGTTCTCAGCTGCTCTACGGACAAGACACAGGTTCGCTACAGTAACTTCTGCCAAAGATGCAAGGTTCTAGTTTTCCCTACTCTTAATTAAAAAACAAATAGAATCTGTTAATCCTGACATTTTCCAGAACTTTCTGCCCTGGTGTCACTGAGAGAAAGTAAGTGAAGAAAATGTTACAGGGACAAAATATCTCTTCAATAGGAACACACAAGTAAAATCCTATTCCTCAAAATAAAAAGAGGTACATTTTAAGTTTTGGCTTAAAGGGGATATTTAATATTTTTTTCTCACTTATCTTTTTAGATTTGTATTTGCCTCAAGTTTGTTCGAGTCTGGAAGCATCAATGAAACAGAGTGGGCTATTTACCAAGACTGGCATACCTGGCTTCTGAATCAATTTGAGACTGAAATAGAACTGGATGGCATAATTTATCTCCGTGCAACACCAGAGGTATTTTCTTTTAAAAAGAGAGAAAACATCTAAAGTCAAATATTGATTTTAGATTCTTGCTCTGCCCATGCCAACCATTTTGGCTTGGATATATTTGGTTTCATGAAGTTTAATCCATCCAGGTTTGACTGGCCACTGATTTACATCTGCTGATCTCTTTGCTGAATGAATCCAGAAGAGATGTTGATTACATCACTTCCGGTTCTGAGCTGTCATTGCACAGTTAGAGAAGTTGGTGAAGAAGCTGATCTAGCACAGTCTGTGCTTAATCCGTTTCAGTGGGCTGCAAAAAGTGACCTTAGGGGTCTATTAGTTTTATAGAGGATCTATAAGCTAATTAGGGGTCTTAGTTTAGAGGATCTGTCACTAAGTGCTATCACATAGGGGGGCTCGCAACCCCTTCCCATGTGTAAGCCGTGAAATTAAGTATTACAAAAAAAATATTACAAACAGCCCATCAAAAAAAAGTGCACGCACATACTATTGCAAACACCTGTTGCGAGGGCCTACGTACGTAAATGCCCATTGTGCCACATGTTTGGTATCGCTGCTTAGCCAGAGTGAGAGCAATAACTTTAGGTCCAATATTTACGGCTAACTCTAAACTGATGACCTGTGAGTGGGCTCACTCCAGTCACTGGTGCAAAAGCAGTGAATATATTAAATCCGATAACAATAAATAACACACTTAAGCCTGGCCAACCAATATCAAGTAAACCTTCTGTCCATCAAGTGTCACCTATGGACAATTTGGGGTTTTTGTTTTTTTTCCTCTAGTCTTTGCACATGAGTGTGACTCCACCACCAGAGGCAGGGGACATTTAAACCCGTCAAGGCAGTTCCCCAGATAGTCTGTGAGTATTTGTTTACTCCCCTGGACAAAACGTACACTTTGGAACTCTTACTGGGGGAAATTTGCTCTCTGGGCATTGCGCTCCCCCCCCCCACACCTAATTTTTCCTTGGGCCTGCTGGATGACCTAGCAGTGAGTGGATGGGTAATTCTGGGGCTTCCCTCTACTGCTCCAAGTTCAGGGCAACTAGGGCTGCTCCTGGGTACTGCTCTGGGCTTGGTGGGCGTATGTCGTTGACCATCTTTCCTTCCCTTTTCTCTCTGTACAGGAAGTGCAGCTGCGATACTTCCAGTTGCGGCAATAGTGTTTGAGCACTTGGTTCCGTCCTGTGGAACGCAGGGAGGGGGGGCAGGGCATCCGGTGACATTATTTCCGTACTGGGAAAGCATGAATTCATGGTACTCCTGCTGTCCTTACCGCTGCGCACTCTGCATTATGATCTCCACAGAAGAGGCAGCAGTAGGATCTGGCAGCAGCGGCTCCGGTAAGAGAGTATTGCAGCAGCCTTTGCTTCTTTCCTAGCTGGGAGTGCATAGGGTGTTTGTTTGGAGGGGAGTTGCTTCTGCCTCCCTTCTGCCCTTCCCACTTTACCTGTCTGGCTCATAGTCTGGTGGGCTCTTGGCCTTTTTTGGCATGGATTTCTCTGGGGTGGTTTTGTGCACAGAGTTGCCTTTTGACGCTTAGCTCCTGAAAGTATTTTTATATTACTTTTTTCCAGGCTCCAGAAAGAAAAAAAAACCTCTAAAGCAAAAAATTTGCTTCATGCTAAGCATGCATTAAGCTAAGCAGCTAAGGGCAAACCACTGTGCCAAAAATGCATAGAGAAATTGGTTTTTGAAGAATAATGTTAGTTGTAAGGACTTCATGACTAGTTTAACCTCTTGCCGTCCGCCCGTTAAGAAAAAAACGGACGGACGGCTGACTCCTATCTGCGGGTTGCCGTCGCCAGACGGCATTTTTTTCCTGCACATGGGCAGGAAAGACCCGCTTGTTACTACAGCCGTTAACGGCTGTTTCACATACAACCGATCAGCGGCTCTATAGCCGCCGATCGGTTGTATGGCGTGAATTTCGGAGGGCCCCCCCTGCGCGATCGCGGGTGCCGCCAGCTCCCCCCTCCTGACCCCTCGTGCCGCCATCTCCCCCCTCACCTTTAATCCTGGGATCCGCTGCCCCATTTAATCCCGGGACCGGCTCGGGAGGGCGTCAGTAGGAGGAGGGAGGAAATTTAAGGTAAGTGCTGACATTGGGGGGAGGGAAACATTTTTTTGACCTTAAAGGAGAACTATGAGTGCTTTTCAATCACCTCATAGTTGTAGCCGACCTGTGACAATGAGACTGTCACAGGTTGGCTCAGTAGATCGGGACGTGAGCGAACACATACCGGCGTTCGCTCACTTCTCGATCCTGTCACGGCTCTCTGCCGTGACAGGGGAGGCGCTGAATTCCCCGCTCCGATCCTCCAGCGCTGACTGGCGCAACGGACAGGGGAGGGGGCGGGTACAGCTGGCTCTTCCTCTATACAGGCAGAGCCAGCTGTCACTCACGCAGCTGGGCAGATCCAGACATAATTGTCGGGATCCGCTTCAGCTGCGGCGTCTCAGTATACCGTGAGCTGTATCTCGTGGTATACTGCCGCGTCTCGGTATACCGCGAGCTGTAGCTCGCAGTATACTGAGCTTAGGGTGACGGGGGGATGCTAGTTTGTGTCTCTAAGGAGAACTATGGGGAAAAGCCCTAACCCCATAGTTCTCCTTTTTAATGTCACTTTAACTAAAGGCAGATTACTAGCTCTCGCTTTACTTCCTGAAATTCTGGCACATGTGACCATGCACATCATGTCAGGTGAGGAAAATGCCTTTCCCCGAGATCGCATGAGTTTGCAGATGAGATTTTCCAGCAATGCTCTGCTGATGTAACCTTCCCAGGATGCAACGCTTTGGCACTTACATAATTTGTGCCATAACTGGACCAGGAAGTAGATTAATTCTATTTGTAAGTAAATTAAAAACATGTTTGTTTAATGAATGTAAGTAAAAGGGAGTAAATGTCCATTTTAAAGACTGCTCTCTTAGTCGCCCTCTCTACTGCCCATCGGGTTAGACAGATTTAGGCCCTCTCTTATTGGGGTGCCTTTTTACAAGTCTTTGAAGGTAGATTAGTCTCAAGGTGCCCATACACTGTAAGGGAATCGCGGGAAATCCCGCAATCGTACGATCGCAAAGTGTATGGAAGGCGTGCGACTGTTTCTACTGTACGATCGCAGTCTTCCGTCGAACATGTGGCATGCTTGTTGCACAACTGCCTAACGGGCCAGTGTGCACACTGCCCGTTCAGCATTGCAGTCATCGGAAGCCCGCCCCTCAGTGGACAGGCAGATTGTACTTGCGATCATCGAAAGCCTGCCCCACTGAGGGGCGGCTTATGTTGACCGCAGTGAGGGGCGGGCTTCACAAGGTTCAAATGGAACCAAGATCACATTACTAACTTGAGACCAAATTCTGGTCACCCCTTCACTACCTGTCAGGGTCCGTCCGGCAGAAACCGACCGGGATGAAGGAAACCTATGTGGGGGTCGGGTCAAGCAATGGCTAAACGGAGACATACCCCAAAATATATTGTGTTTCACCCATAATACTAGTAGAACAAAAACAGTGAAAGTTGAACAACAAACAATAAAGACCTATTGTAAAACCCATGTCCTTTAGGCTGCATAATGTTCATCTCCCCACAAGCAATGCGCTCGCCGGTGCTGAGATGCTGGGGCACGAGGCCTCATGGACATCCCGACTACTGAACGGGATCAATGAGGTCCGAAGGGGGCGGGGCAGGATGTCCTGCGAACGCATGACCTTCTAATGCAGCCGGTGTCACCCCGGTTTTGAGGATTGGATCATGACCGTATTGTATATGTATTGTGAACTGTCATGGATGAACTGAAAAAACTTCCCACTAAGTGGTCTAAGAATTCACTGGAAATTTGTTAAACCTTTTATTGATATCAGCCCAAGTTAGATTTAATGACATGTACCTGGTATTCCACATTCTTACAGTAGAAGTAAAGGATAGATTTTACTCTGCAGTGATGATTTATATAGGGCAGCATCTTTTCATGGCATTGAAACTGTGTTTTATGCGGTTTCATTACTGGGTGGATTAACCAGCCTGCAGGTCCTTCAGCATTAAGTGTGGGGTTCTTTGAATGGAAGTCCTCCTTTCGAAGTAACAGTGCCCGTAGGTAGTCACATCCTCCTTAGTGCACGGGGGTATTTTTTTTTTACCAGTTTACGGTCAGTGTAGGTAGGAAAAAAATAATGGAATTTAAGCAAAATAATACTTCCAGTGATGTCTGGAACTTGATGGCTCATCCAGCAGCAGGAGTTCAGGAGGGAGGAGCACAGATCCCCCTCTTTCTCACTGTTCTGACTCTTAAGCACTGAGGTTCCTGTACTGACATGTTAAGTGCTGAGGGAACTCTGGGGGAAAACATTTTCCTGTAACATCACTGCCCATATTTGACATTTCAATGCTTTCCAAGAGTTTTCTAGGCACTTAAGACCATTTTCCTTTTAAAGAATAAAAATGTCAGGGGAATGTAATTTTCACTGGGTGAATTTCGACTAATTTGGCTCGATACACAGTGGTATGTTTACCAAAGAACTTTGGGGGATTGGTGAAATACCTTTTTGATGAATCTTTTGTAAATTTGCCCATAAGAATAATTAACATTTCTAGACGTCACGTCTTTTCGCCCTGAGGAAGGGACCCTGTGCGATCCCGAAACGTTGGCTTTTGTTACTGTGACGTTTTGTCCAATTAAATGGACATGTTGAATGATATCGCTGAGTGCTGGTGATTTTTGTTTCTACTGTGTGCACGGCGCTATTCATGGTTATCACTGTAGCACCATCTTCTACATAGGCCTGGACTGCTGTGAGGTATGAGGAGGGTTTCTCTACCTATCCATTTCTAGATAGCAGGCTCTATGTAGAAAACCAAATGTGTGTGTAATGTAACATGCCAGCAATGTTAAAGGGATGCAACGTTAATCATAATAGGGAACATGTGAAGTTATTTTCAAACTAATTGCAAAATCTAACATATTTTATCTTGTAGAAATGTATGATAAGGTTGCACTCCAGAGGTCGGCAGGAAGAGCAAGGAATTGAGCTTGAGTACCTGGATAGCTTGCATTCTAAGCATGAGAAATGGCTCCATGAAAGATCAATTCAGTAAGTAATCCTTTTTATGATGGTTAAGTGAGTCAATATATCCTAGATTTCTTTAGCAAATTTTACTTTTCATTTATTTGTGTGTGTGTGTATATGTGTGTATATGTATATATATATATATAATTACCGAGCGGGTCAATACTTTTTTCCCAGTTTTTTGTGGTAAAATTAGGTACCTCGGCTTATATTCGGGACGGCTTATACTCGAGTATATACGGTGTGTGTGTATGTGTGTGTATCCAGTAAGGTATTTGTATCGAAGAGTGGTTACTTAACTAGTCTGCAATTTTTTTTTATTTTTTTTCACATGAAGTGCTTAAAGATACATTACTCATTTCTGTATGAAATGAAACACATTGCATAGCAACCTAATCAATTTTCCATGATATCCTGATTTGCCTCTGCCAACAGCCACTGAGTGCAGTGTCTTCCTAGATAGTCTTTGAAGCATATGTAAATCCTAACCATGAAATTTCTTTCTTTTGGTCTGGTAAATATACTGATAAAGTATTTGTAATATCACGTGTTAAGTGCAAAAAAAAATACCTGTTGATTTTGTCAGAAATTCAGAACCTTCCTGTGTTCTCAAGGAGTGCAATTAGCCTTCCTAATGCTTATATTGGACTAAAGAACAATTAGTTCTTATGTTGTGGATATGAGGACAGTGGGGTGGGGGGGAATTTAGTAGTTTGGCAAAAGACAACTGGGCAGGCCTTACACCATTCAGACAGAGCTCAGCAAAAATGCTGAGCTCGGTCAGTCGACCATATTTCTGGCACATATAACAGGTTTATTTCTATACTTGCACCTTTACCCTTTCACTGTCAAGCCCACCGGAACACTTTAAATCTCAGCTGGCCGCACCATTTTAGCAATTTTTCCCATTTTAGTTTTCCACTGCTGCGTTGCTAACGTCTGAAAAAGACCGCCCAAACTAGAGCTGCAGCTAACCATTATTTTCAAAATCGATTTCGAATCGATTATTGAGTTTGATTTAATCGGATAAAAAATAAAATACATTTTAAAAAATGGCTCCAGTGATGGGACTACTAGGAGCAAGCTTGAAGCGGTGGAAGTAAATAAGAAAAAAAAAGTGGTGTGCAATATAGTGAAATGAAAAGTGTAAAATGATATAGCAATGTATGCAGAATGGCACCAGCTATGGAGAACTACAAATCCCAGCAATAATATATTATACAGCGCAATGCAGAATACCACCAGCTATATAGGAATAGAACAAATGCCAGCAATACATTATAGCTGGTGGTATTCTGCATTTTGCTGTATAATGTACTATTGCTGGGTTTTGTAGTCCTCTATAGCTAGTGGTATTCGGCATTGCACCACTGTATAATGTATTAGTGCTGGGATTTGTAGTCCTCTATACAGCGTTTTCAGAAATGTTCGTAAGTTAAAAGTCGTGCGACCTTACAGTAGTACAGGTCACACGGCTTCCACACCTTACGATAATCATACGATCGCGGGATTTCCCGCGATTATTGTACGATTATTGCAAGGTGTGTGGGGACCTTTTACTCTAACTTGATTGTGTGTACCCTATTACCTTGCTGTGGCAATTACTTTTTAAAAGGAATCCCACCTGCATTTTACTGTGCTGCCATTTACCCTATCTGGCAACATGTTGGGGTTTTTTTTTTTTAAATCCTCTATTGAAATAGTTTCATAATTTACAACAACATAATTATACATACATACATACATACATACATACATACATACATACATACATACATACATACATACATACATACATACATACATACATACATACATACATACATACATTACATTCATTTACAATACTGCTGCATCTTACTGCTTAGTCCATATTACATTTCCTAGTCTGCCCCAACCGATAACTTAACCTATCTTTTATTTTAATTCCCTCATGGCCTACCTGACTCCATTTACAACCCCCTATGGACAAGGTTAGCTCCTTGCAGGGCTAGAGCTAATGAGGGTTGGAATCCTTTTAAGGGTTTGGGCAGTTTCAGGGATTTCTTGTTCTCCATCGGATTGTGGCTGAAGGAAGTAGGGATATACATACTTACAGGTGAAACTCGAATAATTAGAATATCGTGCAAAGTTCATTTATTTCACTAATGCAACTTAAAGGTGAAACTAATATATGAGATAGACTCATTACATGCAAAGCAAGATAATTCAAGCCGTGATTTCTCATAAATTGTGATGATTATGGCTTACAGATCATGAAAACCCCAAATCCACAATCTCGGAAAATTAGAATATTACATGCAATCAATAAAACAAGGATTGTACATAGAACAATATCGGACCTATGAAAAGTATAAGCATGCATATGTACTCAGTACTTGGTTTGGGCCCCTTTTGCAGCAATTACTTCCTCAATGCGGCGTGGCATGGAAGCTATCAATGCAGGAAGATCTGCTAGGTTACTTGCGTTTTTGCAGACAGTACGAGTGTAGAGGAAGCCAGCCACAGGTATCCCGAGGAGCTTGGGAGAGTCCCTATTCGCCATCCGAGGAAGAGGACCCACTCAGCGGTGGAAGTGCAGCATGGGGGGGAGAGAGCAATTGCTCCACGTTCAATCTCCTTGCTTGAACGCCGAGCAATTGAATCTCCCTCGTTCCTAACGAGGGAGCCAGCTTCAGGGGGCCGGAGCTACGGACGGGGGCCGGAGAGCCAGTGACTACGTGGGGTGACGTCGCCGCTGGAGGAGGGGCTGAGCGTTGCAGGAGCAACGCCGCAGCAGATCCCTGACACGGACATCGACGTCACCGGACTCCTCCCCCCTTCGATAGCCAACAGAGCCACTTGGGAAAGGGGGAGGAGTCCAGTGATGTCCGTGACATCACTGGATCTCCGAGGAACTCCCGGAAGCCGATTAACGATTAAATCGTTAATTTCTGCAGTATATATATATACATACACACACACACACACACACACATTACTATGTGTGTATTGTATTTCTATTACTTATTTCCCCTTTAATCCTTAACTCTTCCCCTTTCTCTCGTAATTTTGTGTGAATGTCATATTTATTTAAGTTTTCAGGTGGTGGGGGTCCTCTCCGCACACCTTACAGCAGTCCTGGCCAAATAGGAACGGTGGTGCTCGCAATGACTATCACGGATGGCACCGTGCAAAATACGAAGTAAAAGAAACAGGTCACCAGCACTCGTTTAGAATAAATATGTCCTTTTTTTAATGGACAATTGTGTCACTACAATCAACAGAGCCGACGTTTCGGGGCCGGGGCAGTAAAATTGTGACAATTTTACTGCCTTGAAGGGACCCTGTGCGGCCCCGAAACGTCGGCTCTGTTGATTGTAGTGACACAATTGTCCATTAAAAAAAGGACATATTTATTCTAAACGAGTGCTGGTGACCTGTTTCTTTTACTTCACATTTATTTAAGTGACTATTATTTCGTACAATAAATTAATTTAATAGCCAAACCAGGTACAGATAGCCATGGAGACCATATCCTCCAAAATTACCCTAAACATACTCTGTAAAAAGAGCATTTTTTTTCTTTTAGTAGAACTTGATTAACCTGCGTGCACCAATCCTCCGTTGTTGGTGGTCTAGGAGACAACCATCTTAAAGCAGTCATTTTCCTTGCTATACCCAACGATCGTGTCTTAAGGTGAACTACCCCCTTGTCCTGTCCCTCTTCCTCCTCACAATTCAAGAGACACATTCTGGGGTCCAGCTCCAATGAGGTTACCGAACACATGATTAATCAATATAATGATGTCTATCCAATACCTTTTGCAGTTTCGGACATCTCCATAACATATGAATCAACGTAGCATTTGCTCCCTCACATCTAGGGCCGGGGTAGGCAACCTTGGCTCTCCAGCTGTGCTGAAACTACAAATCCCATAAGGCATTGCAAGCCACAGGCATGACTCCCAGAGGCAGAAGCATGATGGGATTTGTAGTTTCAGCACAGCTGGAGTCTAATCCGGGTAACTCGTAATCCAACATGCTGGTGGGTAGATTTAGGGAAAAGGGCTATAGGGATTTCACCCCAGGAGTTTCTGTGGAATGGACTCTCTCCTTTCTACAATTGGTTCTGGACCAACACTTGTCTCTTAGCACCATCAGTAGCCAGATTTCTCTTTTAGCTATTACCTTTTTGAGACTGCTCGCTTCCTAATGTCTGATCAAGACCTTTGTTGGGGGGATGGGTCTCCCATGTGACTCCTTGTCAAATCCCCTCTGTGGTATTTGAGTTTGGTACTCTGCACTTATCAGATGCATTCCTCTTTACTCCTGACCCCCAAGTTGACCTACATTGTGGCTATTACTTCAGCTAGGCCACTGGAGGACCCTCCTTGCAGTGAGGGTCTATCTCTCAGCTATAGTTTCTCTATCTCTCAGCTATAAAACATTCTGACTTGTTGCTCAGGGTAACATCAGTTAAGCAATATGTGCTTGGTCAAGGACCTGCTGCAGCCTGCTGAATGAACAGTGAAGAAGCAACATCAAACAGATGTCATCGCAATGTTCTCTTCTCTTGCAATCAGGCAGTGTTACTGACTGACCCATAAAGGAAAATGGCAGATATTGATGAGTTGCTGTGCTTATAAAATTAAAAATGCCTTTATTTAAGATACAAAATGTGCCACCTTTTCATGTAGTAATTTTCTTCTGTCGCCAAATAGATTGGATTTGGAGTCTCTTCGCGATGTACCTGTACTAACTCTTGATGTTAATGAAGATTTCAAAAATGACAAGATTAGACAAGAAGCATTACTTGATAAAGTAAGGATCTGGAAGTTATTAAATAAAAAAGCATGCATGCTTAATGTTACATTATCACATTAGAATTAGAAGAGTTACAATATAAGGAAGACATTACAGTTAAAATACAATTTTCAAAATAAGATGGTTATTCATCTCTGCCTCGTTTACTCTTAAATTTAACCCTTTCGCAGCCACAGCTTTTTTTTGCACACGTTATAATCCACATTTTAGGCCTCAAAAAAAAAAAAAAATATGCCTGTAATGTAATAAATAGACTGAAGTCACTAACTTGTGCAAATACTTTGGACTTTATCAAACAGCCATTGGCCTCGATCAGATAAGTAGTCAGTCTATATAACTCAAGTATTGAAACAATCAGGCATGGTCATTGTTTAGGAAAGAGGGGTCAGTATTGCCGCTTGTGTGTGTTGTAACATAGGATTTGTTTTTATACACTCTAAATGCCTATTTGAGATTTTCCTTTTTTCTTTTACAGGTAAAGGATTTTCTCTTCGCTCTCTAGCCATTGCCATCCTCAAAGATCTTATCAACAGATTTTATTCATGTATTCCTTAATTTTTTAAAGAAAAATATATATTTAATTTATAGTTGTGTGGTTTTGTCCTTGTGTAATGATCACCACTGTTTTTATTTTGACTTTTAATTCATTTTAAAGGGTGAGGAAACATTTCCAAATGTTCTTACCCTTTTGACCCCACCCCCTGAGCCTAGCAAGCCCTTCACCACACAGCTCCATACTTGCTCTATTTCTTGCCACAGTGGCCCATTGCTAGGTTTACACCCTGCAGGCCAGCTGCTTCTTCCTGATGTCCATGTGTGTGTGCACAGTAGAACACCACAGACCTCTGTGGGTCTGTTTGCTTTGCTGGCAGACAGTCTCTTAAAAGACTGAGGTTCTCTGCACAGGTGCCAAAAAATTGCAGTTGCAGAATGCAAACATTTATTAGGGATATACGGAGCTGGGAGAAAGGGTGCATTGAACTCGTGGGGATGGAGACAAAGGGTAAGTAACTGATTGCGTTTACTAACAATTAAAATCCAACACTTTTTTTTTTTTTTGTGGGGGATGGCCTAGAACCCCTGGAAAGGTTTTGATCTCTGAAACCATTGTGGATATTTCCCTACATGGTTAGAAATAAGTGAATATCTCTCTATAAAGCACACTTGTTTACCGTCCATTGAGAAACGGGGTCGGGTTATACTGCCACCTAGGGAAGACACTCACAAATCTGTAGGCCAGAGCAGGATAACCCATCTTCATTCCAACATACCTCCTAGTTTTTGCATGTGTCCTAGAAGGAAGAATGTCTTTTTCTTTACCTCTGCTCTACATGGCAGACATCAGCATTGGCTTTTTCGCAGCTTAGCTGTGGAGTGCCATACCCAGACACCAGAGAAGACATTGTATGCCTAGCCTGAAATTGACCTTTGGCACTGGTTTGTAAGACCACATTTTGTAACGGGAGCAGATGGCATTGCCTCCGCACTCTGCAGACTCACTCCATAAGCAGGCCAATCAGGCAGAGCATTGGGAGCTACCTTGTTATTTACACCACTGGACACCTTGAAATATCCCGCTTCCTTTCAATTAATCTGACAGGTACTTGGGGGTTTGCCCAATCATAACCCTGATTGGGTTAGTGCTAAGAGATTGAACACTGATGTCATCTGTTGGGTGGAATGTTGCACGCACTTTAACCACTTGAAGTCCGGGGTGTTAAACCCCCTTCCCATCCAGGCCGGATGAGAATGACAGTACTTTGACTGACATTCCATCATGCAATGCTGTACTGAAATGAATTTTATCCCATTTTTTTGGGGACAGATAGAGCTTTCTTTTGGTTATATTTAATCGCCACTGGGGTTTTATTTTTTAATATATTAAGGAAAAATTATCGAAATTTTTAAAACAAAGTTTCCCCTATATTAAATGATAAACATTTATTATTACCCAATTTTTTGGTAAAATATAAAAGACGTGGTCACGTCGGGTAAATAGACACCAAACATGTCAAGCCTTTAAAATTGCGCGCGCGAAACCTAAAACTACAATACCCAAAATTGGCCATTGGTGACTCATTAAAAGCTTTTACCGCTCATCAGTTTAGTGTGATCAGTGATTGATGGCCCTAAAATTATTGCTCTCCCTCAGACGTTCGCGACTATATGTAACGTGTAGCACAATTGTCGATTTCCCGCACTGGCGCATCGAACGCGTATTTACATTTATATGTGCGTAAACGTGGTGGTGGGGGACTTAAAAATGTTTGGGGTTTTTTTCAATTTTTTATGTGACTTATTTTTTTTACACTTATTGTTATTGCTATTACATAGGGGGATAACAATCCCCCTATATAATAGCAAAGGCACACGGACAGGTCCTCTTTATGGAGACATTAGGGGTCTCTAAGACCCCTGATGTCACCTGGGGACTGCAAAAGAAGCTGATTAAGCACAGATCTGCTTCTTCTGTCTATAGCAGCCAGATGACTGACAGGTGAATGCGGAAGTGATGTAATACACATTACTTCCGCATTCACAGCACGGAGGGAGGTCGGCAAGAAAGAAGATGCTGACCTCCCTCCCATTTTACCTCCTGGGCCGCATATGGGGCAGCGGATCCCAGGATTGAAGGGGGGCGGCGTTGTGGCAGCAGTGGAATTTGAGCGGGGGAGGGGGCGCGCAGCCAGACAGCCCATACATACAATTGGCAGGCTATAGAGCTGCCGATCGTATGTATATGAAACAGCCGGTAACGGCTGTAAAGAACGGGACGTTTTTTTTTTTTCTGCCCGTGTGCGCACGCAGAAAAAAAAAAGCAGTCTGGAGATGGCAACCCGCCAATGCGACTGTGCTGTCCGGTTTTTCACAACAGGTTAAGGAAGCATCTCGCCTCTGCTGCTCCTGCAGATATCACTGGAGCTCAGAACATTCACCTGCCTTAGCATAAGAGGTCTATGGAACAGTTGACCCCCATTTTTCCCCTTCACCTACTTCTAGAGTAGGCACACCCAGACCCTCTTAGTGATAGTGCTTAGTTGCTGGTGAACCACACTAACAATTTTTGCTGTATCATGGGTGATGGAGCCACATTTAGAGCTGCCAGCCAACTATTATCAGCGTTTCAGCAATTTTTGAGGACCGTCCTTGTTTTGAAATATAAATGTTTCCCTGGGTAGGATAGCATTAACCGCTTTCCATCCGCCCGTTGGAAAAAAATGGATGGCAAACTCATGGGCAGGTTGCTGTAAATAGACTTTTTTTTTTTCTACCCGGGCAGAAAAAACCCGTCCCTTCTGAGGAGCCGTTACTGGCCATTTGACATACAAACGATCGGTGGCTATATAGCATATAAGGCTCTATATGGTTTTGGCTGCGCGCCCCATGTTGACACGTTTGTCTTTTTACCCGACGTGACCCCGTCTTTTTATATTTTACCAAAAAATTCGGTAATGAATGTTTTATAATTTCATAATTTTTTTTGATTTTCTGTAATTTTCCTTGTAATATAGTCAAAAATAAAACCCCCAGTGGTGATTAAATACAACCAAAAGAAAGCTCTATCTGTCCCCAAAAAATGGTATACAATTCATTTCAGTACAGCGTTACATGATGGAATAAATGTCAGTCAAAGTACTGCAGCGCTGAATACTGAAAAATGGCCTGGACGGGAAAGGGGTTTAACACCGTGGACTTCAAGTGGTTAAGCTTGCTTTTTTTTTGTGCGTTGGGACCCCAAGGTTGGTGTATGTGGGTAAAGCCAATTTTGTGCTATTGGCTTATGTGCTAGAAAAAAGAAATCAAACTCCAAATGGCTTGTGTTAGAACATCAGGTTGGTATTGCTCCTTATCTAGGCTACCCAGCAAACAAACGGAATCAAGGGTTAATGCTCACTTGTAAAACCACAGGTATACCACCGCCATCCAAAATAGTTCTAGTTTAAGGCATAGTATTTGATTGGGTCCCTTGGTTATGGACACATCTGGGGCAGTTGCGGCTCTCTCCCCTACCCGACCGGAATAGGTGGACAGGAGTCCTATATACTCTAGGGACAAATTAATGTGCATGTGTTTGGGAAGGAGAGCGTGAAACCTGAGGTGGAGGGAAAGGGGAAACACGACCTATTATTGAAGATACCAGCTTTCAACTGTGCCTTAATCGGGATGATTGTATGCTCAAACGTTACGAGATTTAAAATAGGGTCACCTTCCTCCACTAATCCCCTTCCCAGTATGGTTAGGTTTCTAACTTCCATATCATGGCCACCATGTTGGGGTGCTTCCCATGCACCTTACCCCAGTCATTCTGACTGTGGGATCAAATCCTGGGCTCTCATACCCTTCACAGGTTGTTGATTCTAGTCTTAAGGTTTTTCCCTTGGTAAATCTCACCTTGGCAAAGGTGGTTATCTGTTCTGACAATCTGCCTCAGCTGCCAATGTCTGACCTCGGAAGAGTGGTCCCTTCACCTGGCGGTCCTGTGTCAAAGATGGCAGATGCCAGATGGATCTCCTGGCCTCCAGGTTTAACAACAAACTGGACAATTTTCTCCAGACACAGGGATGCTCTGGTGAAGCTGTGGGATCAGTGCAACCTGAACTGTCTTAACTCCACTAGAACTTCTTCCCTGTTTGCTTGACTGGATGAAGATGGAGGGCATTTTGGGGCACTGGATTGGCCCAGGCAAATGTAGAACACCAAGGTGATAAAACTCCTGGCAAACACTCCATGGGTTGTACCTTTTTTTTTTTTTTTGACCTGGCTCCAGTTCACCGAAAGGAAATTTCCCTTTGGATGTGGTTCAGGCTGAGAGTCTATCTCCTTCACTGTATCTTTCAGAAATAAAATTATCTTCTTGCCATCCTGGATGGTTCTCAAGGGTGTACTGGATTCTCGTTCCTCCCTTTCTAGGTGGCTCAGATGATCCTTAAGACCAATATGGTTGAATGATGGTCCAAATTCCACCTGTTCCTGTAAAGGCTGACTCTACTAGATCTTGATCATGTGAATGTTTTAGCCTTATCTCATGCCAACTTCCGGCACAATGTCCTTCAGGTGGCTCCTTAAGATACAAGCAGTCCCTAGTTTTCTTGGGCCCGTTAGTTTGCTGTGTCTATGCATCAATTGGACTGCTTTTGGAAGTACCAAAGGTGAAGGACGTCCTGTGTTCTTCAATGGGCGAGAGAAAATCAAAGTACTCCGATTTTACTCACTGTAAAATCCTTTTCTTATAGTCCATTGATGCACACAGGTCCCACCCCCCATGTTTATAATAATAATCTCTACTGATTTGCAACAAACTGAGGCATGCGAGTTGGTGGGTTATCCTGGGCTGTCCTACAGGGTTTGTTTTTCCCCTCCCAGTGTTCAATCCATCTGTCAGTAGCAGTGTAAATGACTTCCTGTGTCTCTCAGTGCACAAAAATCCTATTTTTTTTCCCCCTTGATCAACCTGTGGGCAAAAAGATACTCTTCCCTTATCCACATTAAACAGTGTGGATGGAGGAATCCC